GATCCCAGCATTCAGATACTGTGCACTTTTATCTTTTAAATGTTTATTTTTTTATTTGGAAAGAGAGAGAGAGAGAGAATCCCAACTCGGGGCTCGATCCCATGAACTGGGAGATCATCAAGAGTTGGACGCTTAGCCAGCTGAGCCACCTATGTGTCCCACATCCTGTGCATTTTGTGTCCGTTATTCTGAGAGCAACTTCTGTGTTTAATTTTTAAAATTCTCCTACGGTACAATTGAAGTACGTTGATGGACAGTTCTATGAATTGTAACATATGGGGAGGTCCATGTAAAGCATAATCCAAATCAGTCCACAGAAGAGTTCAAGCACACTGAAATACCCCCTGCCCAACCTTGGCACCCAACCACCAAGCTCCATCACATGATGTGCCTCTTCGTAAACAGAATTACAGAGTGTGTAACCTAGGAGACTGCCCTCCACTCGACTCCTTTGACATTCCTCCAAAATTATTGTGTGCACCGACGGTTTATCCCCTTTTATTGCTCAGTAGGATTACATAAATATACTGTGTCATTCACCTATCCAAGGACCCTTGGGTTATTTCCAGGTTTTGGTAATTATTGATAGGGAATAAATATTCATGTTCAGTTTTTTTGTGTGAACATAGGTTTTTATTTCTTTAGGGTAAATACCCAGGACTAGGATTGCCGGATCGTATGATAATTGTATGTTTGACAGTATGAAAACCTGCCAGACTGTTTTCCAGAGTGGCCGTACCACTCCGCATTTCCTCCAGCAATGTACGAGAACCCCAGCAGCACCACGTTCTCCCCAATATTTGGAATTGTCAGTATATTTTTGTTAGCCATTCTAACATGGATGGTGTTTGATCAGACTTTTAATTTGCATTTCCTGGATGGCTAAGATGTCAACCATCTTCATGCCTTTTTTTTTTTTTTTTTTTGGCCATCAACACCTCTACTTCTTTGAAGTATCTGTTAAATTTTGCCCATTTAAAAATGTTTCTTTTCATACTGTTGAGTTTTATTTATTTAAAAAGATTTTTTAAATGTTTTTTATTTATTTCTGAGAGAGAGAGAGACAACATGAGCAGGGGAGGGTCAGAGAGAGAGGGAGATACAGAATCTGAAGCAGGCTCCAGGTTCTGAGCTAGCTGTCAGCACAGAGTCTGATGCAGGGCTCAAACCCCCGAACCGTGAGATCATGATCTGAGCCAAAGTCAGACGCTTAACTGACTGAGCCACCCAGGTGCCCCCATACTGTGGAGTTTTAAAAATTCTCTGGCCACTCTGCTTGTAAGCTGTTTGTTAGATAGGTGATTTGCAAATCCATCCTCCTAACTATCTTTCACAGAGCTAAAGTTTCTCATTTTGATGGTGCCCAGTTTATCAATATCTTTTCCGTGGGACATCCTTTTGGTATGTTTAAGAACTATTTGATTACCCTTAGGTTACTAAGATCTTCTATTTTCTTCTGAAAGCTTTATGGTTTTACTGCCTACATTTAGATCTGTGATCCCCTTTTCATTTTTTTTTTTTAATTGATGGCATTCACATAACTTAGAATTCACCGCCTTAACGCCAACAATTCAGTGGCATTTAGGACATTCACATTGTGACTTCACTACATCTAGTTTAACTAGATGTATTTTCATTACCCCCAAATCCAGAGCCCAGTCACCAGTGGCCCCCAACTGGTGATTCCTCAACCAGCAGCTTCGACTCTGGATTTTCCATCTCTGGATTTCATGCATGGGGTAATCTCGGTGTGGCCTCGGTGTCTGATTTCTTTCACCATGCATGATGTTTTTGACATTCATCCACATGGTGGCATGTGTCAGCTCTTTCGTTTTTATGGCTGAAAAACTTCCATTGGGTGGATATACCAGTTTGGTTATCCGTTCATCCAGTGATGGTGTGTGGGCTGTTGGCACCTTCTGGCGATTGTGACTGCTGCTTCATATTGAAGTCCCCATTCTCGATTCTTTGGAGTTGGTATCAAGGAGCGGCCTTGACAAGTCTTGTGGCTACTATAGTCTCACTTTTTGAGGAATCATCAGATTATTTTGCACAGAAGCTGAACTGTTTTCCACCCCCACCAGCAATGGGTCACAGTTCCAATTCCTCACATCTCCAACACGTGCTATTTTCTGTTTACTGTTTGTAGCCATTCCACCGGGTGTGAGGTGGTATCTCCTTGTGGTTTTGGCTTGTGTTTCCCTAATTCATGATGATGTTGAGCATCTTTTCATGTGCCTATTGGCCATCTATATATGTTCTTTGAAGAAAGAGCTTCAAGTCCTTTGCCCATTTAAAACAATGTTTTGGGTAAATATTCTTTATTTTGTATACTAAACTCTTACCAGATACATGATTTGCAAGCGTATTCTTCTATCCTGTTGGCTTTTTACTTTTTTGATAACGTCTTTTGATGCACAAAATTTCACAATTATGGTTAATTACAATTTATCTATCATTCTCATGTCATATCAAAGAACGCATTGCCAAACCCAAGGCTGTCAACATTTACCCCTGTGTTCTCCTGTGTTTCATGATTTTAGGTCTTGTATTAGGTCATTAGCCCACTCTGAGTTAATTTCTATACATGGCATGAAGTCAGAAACCAACTACACACTTTTGCATGTGTATATCAGTTGTCTTACACCATTTATTAAAGAGACTATCTTTTCCACCATTGGGTAGTCTTGACAGTTCTGTCAGAAATCACTTGGCCACCAGTGTTCTGTGATCCATTCTGACTAATTTTTTTAGTGACATGGCAGTGAGGGAAATTTGTTTTTACCTTTATTTTTGCATCTCGTTTGTGTGGTAGATAATATCATTGTCAAAAAATGAACTGGGAAATAGTCTCCCCTCTTCTATTTTCTGGAAGAGTTGGTGGTAGTCTGTAACGATTTAGTAGAAATTGGCAATGAAATCTGGACCAGCAAATTTCTTCTTTGGAAGGTTTTTAATGATAAGATCATTTTAAAAAGAGGTACAGGACTGTTCAGGTTATCTGTTTCATTTTGGGTAAGTTTGATAGTTTTTCCTCTCAGGAAATTAATGCATTCTAAGTTGTCAAATTTATGTGTGTAGAGTTGTTCTCGGAATGTCTTTTCCCTTGTGTCCACTGAACATGTACTGACTCCCTTTATATCTCTCTTGATATTGATAATTTACATCTTCTGTCTTTTTCTTTGTCAAACCTGTTAGAAGTTTATCAATATTATTGATCTTTTCAACAAACTAGCTTTTGGTTTCATTGATTTCTATTGTTTCTCTGCTTTCAGTTTTATTGTTTTTTTTTAAAAACAAGATTTCATCTGGAAATATTTTTCCTCCACCTTTCCTGAAGGGTTTTTCCTCCACACATGGAATTCTGGCAACCCTCTGTTTCCCGGCAAATCCAAAACTGTGTTTCACTTCCTCTTCTGGTCTCTGCGGTTCCTGATAATAAATCCTCAGCCGTTCAATCATCAGTCCTCTACAAATAATGCTCTCTGGCTGCTTTCAAGGTTTCTCACTGTCCTCAATTTCCATTTTACTGATTATGGTACGTCTGGGCGTGGATTGGGCCCCCGGAACCTTTTGAACCTGTAGATTTGTGTCTTTCTCCTGTGGGAAATGTGGCTATTTCTGGCAGGACATTGATCTGGTCAAGGCCGAGCCCCCAGGTTCCAGCTTGGCTCCCGTGGCCTGTGGTTCCAGCATCAGATCCGTTTCTACAGCGCCGCACAGATCTGTCCTGCTCGAATGCCACGCTGTGCCTGTTCAGGGTGTGGGTGGGGGGGGGGTCGGTCTTCCGCGTTGTTGACACGCCCCTTAGAGTCCCAGCTTCGTCTGCGCAGACCCAAGACGGGCCCAGCTTAGCAGGCTTCTGCTCAGGTCCGTCCTCCTGGCACCTTCCTGTTACTTCCCGGTTTTTGGAGGCCCCTCTCCTTGGTCTCCTGTCCTGAGTGCCTGGATGGCTGCTTCCCTCACTACGTGCACACGTCCGGGGACCGCAGCCCCAGCTGGGCTGGAGGAGGACAGCGGCAAAGGAGAACACGGTGACGCTCCCGCTGGCTTGGCGGCACATCTAACCCCGGTTTCCTTCACCAGTCCCTCCGCTGCGGTCCTCCGATGGCTGCTCCAGGGCGGGAGAGACAGGCGGGGTGAGCTCACTCAGTCCCCCCCCCGGGACCCAGGACCCACACGATCACGGTTCAGAAGTGCCGAGTACTGGCTTTGATGGTGGCGGGAGTGACAGTGAGGCACAGAGGAGGAACACATGACTTGACTTCTCTTTAACGTTTCCCCACTCTTGTTTCTATGCTTGAATGTGCTGTAGGTCATTGACTCGGTTAACGATCACACAGCGGCTTTTCTGGGTTAATAGACACGCGCCAGCTCTTCCCACACACTCTTGGCTCTAGGCTTCGCCTATGCTTTCAGCAACATCCCCAGCCTTATGCTCGTTCCAGGGACCCTCACCTTCACATCAGACCTCCCACGCCCTGGGGCTCTGGTGCTGGGTCTCTCCTCCACAATCCGTACCTGAATCAAGGGCCGTTCTGTTGTACTCATGGAGCCAGACAGATCTGAGTTCAGACTGTGACCCTGCCTCTTGCAAACCCATGACCTGGAGCAGGGCATATAGGCTCTCAGAGACCTCAGACCCTTGGTCATTTTAATTCTGCAGTTCTTCCAAACCGGAGTCATAGACTGGGAGGGATTCCTAGGAAAAGGAAACGGCTGTTTTGCTGCACTCACCCTGCCCTCCCTCCCGCCCTCCACCCATCTTTCACTCCGTCAGTGCATCCCTCCCTCCCCCCACTCACCCATCCATCTCTCCCTCCCTCCCTCCACCTCTCCATCATTCATGTACTGTGTTCTCAGTGTTTCCCAGGTACCAGGTTAGGAACAGGATACGTAGAAATGAATAATATCAACCCTAGAAGAAATTTTCTATTACAAAAACCATTATGGAAGAAACCTGTAACTTTTCAGACACATAAAATGAGGTTATAGGTCTGGAAACGACAGTAACGCCACAGACAGGCGTGGGGATGGGGGTCCGACGACAAATGGGGATTGTGAGCTGCGCCTTGAAGATGAAATGAGAGATGAGATCGACGAGAAAGGTGTACAGGGAAATGTAGACACGGTTCTTCCTTCATCCAGGCCCCGAGCGAGGCCAAGGCTGGCCTGGGCTCCGAGGACACCCCTCTGCCTCGAGGAACAAGGAACGGAGGCCAGCGATGGTTTCCTCCCTCTTTCTGCATCTTTGTTGGGATTTTGTTAACATCCTTCCCTTTAGAGGTAGGATCCAGCCTCCTCACCTTTGTTGTTCTAGAGTTCAGGTATTTCCAAGTCATGTTGCTAGACGCGCCTTATTCTCCCCGTCAGGTGAGTCATGTCTGTCTGATTCCACTCCTTCCCCCGTGGGTTTCACAGATGGAAGTGATGCATCTCTCAGAGGTAACCAAGCAAACATTTATTAAGCACCTCTACTCTCCACACCCTCTCCTGACCCCCCCCCCCGCCCCCTGCCCACAGGAGACAAAACAGGAAAGCCCATCTCCCCTTACAAATTCAGATCACCTGAAAGGTAAGCTCTGGATGCAGGAACTATTTAATAATTAGGGCCCTGTAGGATGACAAGTTGGCAATGAACTTCCAGATTTCAAGTCCCCCCTCTCTCACTTGCAAACCACACCTGCTCATGCCAGAGACATGAGAGACTGTCTCCTAAAGATATCAAGTGTGGGGGGTGCCTGGCTGGCTCAGTTGGTTTAAGCTTCTGACTTCAGCTCAGGTCATGGTCTCGTGGTTTGAGAGTTTGAGCCCCATGTCAGGCTCTGTGCTAACAACTCAGAGCCCGGAGCCTGCTTTGGATTCTGTGTCTCCCTCTTTCTCTACCTCTCCCCTGTTCGAGTTCTTTCTATGTCTCAAAAATAAATAGATGTTAAACAAAGTTTAAAAATAGGTATCAAGGGAAAAATATTTTGTGAGCCCATATGGTAGCTTCTGGAATATGAACTCTCCTGTCCATGCTCCGTCTTTCATGGTGCCGCCCAAAAGGGCTTTCCCTCCAGCCCATGGCCAAGGCCTCTGCCAGCTCTCAGACGGTCCAGAAACAGACGGTCCATGGCTGCGTTTAAAGCTCTGCATTCCTCACCCACCACACAGCCAGCTTTTCTCAGAACCGTTGTTGAAATGATTCTGATTTCTGGACCTTTTCCTCCTGGGTCCATCACTGAGCCTCTGGTTGTTCTTACACCTTTGCCCCGGGGTCACCTGGCCCTGGAGGTGGGGCAGGGAGGGGACTCCCGGGGCTCCTCCCTGAGCACTGCTCCTGGAACCCCGATGTGCCCACCCAGAGCCCCGCCCTGCCCTGCAGACCCCTGGGGCCTTCACCCTCACGGCACTGTTTCCCCGTTACTCGAGTATTTCATGTTTATTTGTAATTTATTAGTAAAAAACTTCACATTTTTCCTCTAAGTTAAAAACAAAGCTGTGGAACCTGGGAACAGACTGGCCAAGTCTTAGAGACGAGTTTGGGGGTGTGTGTGCAGCAAGGCCAGGTCTCCCTGGGGCGGGGCCTCCGGGTGCAGTCTGACCAGCCGCACCTTTGGGGGCCGGGACAGGCTCAGGCTCACCTTGACACGGCTCTCACCCACCTGCAGGAGGCCTTGCCGCGCCCCCGCCCCCCCCAGTCCCGCCCCTGCCGGCCGGCCCGGACAGCAGCTCTGAATCATCCCCACAGGCTCCTCTCCTCCGTGTGGGGAGCACCTCCTCTCGTTAATGCCCTGTTTGCACTTCCTGAGCTCCCCAGGCCCCTTTCCTGGCCCCAAATAGCTGCGCGGCCCCAGGGCTGCGCCTGCCGGCATCTGGCGGCCTCCCTGTTCCCTGCCTCCCTCCCTGGCCCCTGCCTGAGCCACCCGGAGTCACAATGAACCGGGTCCACCCAGCCGAGATCCGGAAGGGCGTCCTCCAGCCTTCTACTCAGAAGCAGAGCACAGGTGACTGGGGACACTGTTCTGGGGTTTATCGTTCTCCCCTCTCCCCGGACCGTCCCCCCCTCCCTGGACGGTCCCCCCCTCCCCGGATGGTCCCCCCCCGTCACCGGACCGTCCTCCCCCCTCCCCGGACCGTCTTCCCGTCACCGGACCGTCCCCCCCCGTCCCCCCCCCCCCCCCCCCCCCCCCCCCCCCCCCCCCCCCCCCCCCGCGTCCCCCCCCCCGTCCCCGGACCGTCCTCCCCCCTCCCCGGACCGTCCCCCCCACCGGACCGTCCTTGGCGGCTCTGAGCAGAAGCCTCTGGCACGCATCTCCTTTCCTGCTGCTGGGGCAGGTGTCACAGCAGAGGGACCAGGCCCCCTGTCTTCAGGCTGCTTGTGCCTCGGGGGCACGTGAGAAGACCCCGCAGACTGTTCCCTGAGGGCCGGTTCCGTGGGACAGCACGGGCAGCAGATCGCTTCCGATGTGGGGGAACTTTCCAGAACAAACTGCAGAGCACCCCCCCCGCCCCGGCACGCTGCCCAGCGCCCCCGCCCTCTGGCTGCCCCCCCCCCAGGTGCTGAGAGACCCGCGGCCAGGCCCAGTCACTGTTTTAAGGTGACGGGATGGGAAAGAAAGTGGATGGAGAACTATTCCAAACAGCAAAATGAGTCCTCTTACCGGGGTCTGTGGACGTGAAGCGTTCTAGTGAAAAGACCATGAAAACACGTGTTTGAAGGGTCACGCAGGGGCGTGGTTTGCAGTGCAGGCGCCGCTGGGGGTGGTCTCCCCTCCCGGAGTCCGGTCCTGACGCGGCTCCTGCCGCCCGCGCGCCCTGCTGTGCGGCCACGGAGGGGTCTGGGAGGGTGACCTGGGGGGCGTGCCGAGGCCGGGCGTCACCTCCGGAGGCCACGTGGCCTGGGCCGCGGCCGGGACGCTGAGTGAAGGGGACCTTTCCTGCCCCCAAACAGAAGCTTGACTCCCTGCCTCCCTCCCCGGCACCGCCCACGCCCCTTCCAGGAGGGGGAAGAGGAAGGGAGCCGGGGGTCCCCGAGCCCGGGGCGGGGGGGGGGTGCTGTGATTTTCCCCCTCTCCACGGCCCGCCGTCCGCCGGGGCACCGAGGGGACTTCCAGACGCGGCGGGTACCCCCGGGAGGCGGAGAGGGCACCTTGTGCCCCGGCTGGGGAAGGAGGAGGCCTGCGGGGCCTCAGGACCTGCGCCCACGGCTTGGGGACGGGAGCCCCCTGCAGGGGCCCCAGGGCAGGGAGGCGGCCGTACTCTTCTGGTCCGTTCCACAGGGGGTGGCGTCTGAGGACCCCCGAGAAGATGCGGGAACTCATTCCGGGGCGCCTTGAGAGCCAGCCTGGGGGCCTCGGAAGGCTCAGAGCACAAGCACAGCAGAGCCGAGGGTGGTGGCCTGCCCCCACCCTGCCCAGCTTCGCCCGCAGGGCCAGGCCCAGGAGGAGGGAGAGGGAAGGCCTTCCCACTGGCTCCCGGGCGCTCCCAGACCACCGTCTGCCCTTTGCTCCTGCGGGAGGGACCCGTGGGCGTCCGAGAAGCCAGAGGAATCCGTCTCAGAAAAACTGTTCTTTTGAAAATGGATAGAGCAAAATACATATAGAGCATTATAAAGAAACTGATTATTGAATGCACTTATCAAAATACTTAAAAATAGGAATGTAATAATACATGTGCTTCTATGTATTTATTTATTTATTTGGCAGAGGGAGTGAGAGAGCAGAGGCAGAGGGAGAAACTCTCAGGCAGGCTCCACGCTAAGCACCTAGGATCACCCCCTGAGCCAAAATCAGTCGGCCCAGCCATGCAGGCGCCCCCACGCGTACTTCTCTAGACGTGCGTGAAATAAGGGACGTAGAGCCAGGCACAACTACATCTCTAAGAGCTGATGAACACCAACGATGTTGCATCACATCTGAAGTTACTGTCCTGTCACATGGTAAGATCTGCCTTTGCTTTTGGGGACCAAGTCACAGATCCTGCTAATGCTGTGGTGGCTTGTGGGCGGTAGTCATAACGGAGAAATGCTACATTTCAGGAGAGGTTGGTAAAAATAAAACACGTGCCGTTTTTCCTAAGTTCATGGGTTCTGAATTCCAGGGAGCCAGAGCGAAGGATGTGTGGAGGGAAGGACGGTCACCCAGCCGTGGGCGGAGGAGCAGGTGGGCGCACGGCTGGACCGGAGGGGGGACAGTGTCTCTCCTGAAGATCGAACTTCCCTTTGTGGCTGGAGGGAAACTTACGGCCCCATGTTGGCCCACGTTTCTATGGAGGGACAGGTGACTTCGCTCGGGCACCATTTGGACAATTGGAGTAAACTGAAACCTTCTCATGTACATTCTCCTTTGAGTTTACATTGAAATACTGGGTTTTCGGGGCTCCTGAGTGGCTCAGTTGGTTAAGCGTCTGACTTTGGCTCAGGTCATGAACTCAAGGTTCGTGGGTTCGAGCCCCGCATCGGGCTCTGTGCTGACAGCTCGGAGCCTGGAGCCTGCTTCGGATTCCGTGTCTCCCTCTCTCTGCCCCTCCGTGCTCCCCCCTCCCCCCCTCTCTCTCCAAAATAAACATTTAAAAAAGAAATATTGTTATTTATTTCATTGCGAGCATTTTTGTTGTACCTTATGTTCAGGAGGAAAGTATGGGCTTTGAAACTAGACTGGCTGGCTTTGACTTCTCGACAACCGCTACTCACTGCGACGTTTCGTCATCTACAGGACTGCGGGTAAGTTGCTGGATGAGCATGGCCCTCTCAGGAGGGAACGTGGCCCTCGGTAGAAGCGCGGGCACCTCCCGGGTCTGCACCCCATCCTCACCTCTCGTGATCTTTGAGTTTGGAGAGGAATCAAAAGGATCCTATAACTTCCCAGCACATTGTGTCCATTTGTTATCACCCTAACCATTGCTAGCAGGCGCCCTAAACAGAAGGCTGCATGTGTGATTCTCTCACTGCTGAGGGTGGGGGGGGGGGCTGGATGGCTCACAGGACACGGTGTCCCGGGGAGGCCAGCCTTCGTCATCCCGGAACCTCCAGCAGGCACTGTGAGTGCTCTAGTAAGTTCTGAGGGGTAAGGCATGCTCTATCCGGTAGTATCCAGCACGGTGGATGATATAATTCAAACATACTCAACACAGCAAACCGCCCATTTTAAGCCCCTTAATGTCCTGCTTAATAATTTCAGATTTATGGGGTAATGACAATAAACCTTCACGGCCTTTCAATTTTCCCAATTGTCTGAGATGAATTACACTAAGGAGAGTCTCTCTTAAAATACAGAGGCCCCTCCACTGGCTGGTCTGCTCACACCCCTATGGTGCGCACGCGGGAACACAGCCATCTCAAAGGCCAAACACAGACCCTTTACGCCCCATACAGAACCCTTACCCGACACAGAGCCCTTCGGTTATGTCTTGTTTTACTTTAGTTGTTTTGATGATGGAGCCTCCTGTCTCACTTCTCTGTTTCCCCCGTTCTTTCCCAATGGGACGGCCCCGTTAATTGAGCACAGTCGTGTAGGAAAAGGAGTGTCTTGCTTCCAAAAAAAAATGAAAATAAGTATTTCAAATAGTCTGCTTTTCAATCATGTCGAAACTTGTTTGCAAAGTAAGAGCCATCCTTACTGGGGCACCTGGGTGGCTCAGTCAGTTAGGGGTCTGCTCTTGATTTCCGCCCAGGTCATGATGTCAGGTTTGTGGGTTCGAGCCCCGTAGCGGGCTCTGTGCTGACAGCCAGAGCCTGGAACCGCTCTGACTCAGTGTCTCCCTGTCTCTCTGCTCCTTTCACACCTCCCACTCCGTCTCTCTCAAAGAAAAAAAAAAAAAAAGGAGAAACATTAAAAAAAGAGAGAGAGAGAAAGAAATACATGTTTGCTGCTTATTAGCCGCTGGTCTGTGACAGTTTGGAAGAGCAGCCTCGACAGCTGGAGACACGGACGGAGTATCCGCCACAGGAAATCACACAGCCAACCCCAGATTCAGGTCCTGCCACAGGGGGCTTTGTCTCCTGCCTGGAGGAGGGGGCTTCAGAGTCAAGGGGGTGAGCACCGGCACAGAAGGGGGTCGGGGCCACTTTTGTTATCTGCCTTTAGGTCCTTACTTAATACGATGTTAGATAAAGATCGGTCGTATAATCAATCCTAACAGAGAAATAGGATTACATAGTCCTAACCCTTTTACAATCTTATTGACGTTTTAAACATTTGTGTTAGTTTCTGAGCAGAAGATGAAATTCTTATTCCCAAGAACATTAGATTTAATTTATTTAAAATTCGTCTTTGGCTACTTTCCCCCTCTGTCTCCTGTCTCCTCTCCTAACAAATCACGGAACCTCTGGGAACACGAGGAGGAAACCAAGCGGCCTCGCGGGCGCCGGCAGGCAGCCTTGCGGGCCTCGGACCGCGCGCTGGGTGCACCTCCGGCGCCTGGCATTTGCTCCAGAATCCGTCTCACTCTGAGCTCCCAAGCCAAGCAGAGAAGGGGCACGCGGGGGTCCCCCACCTGTTGAAGGGGCTTCCCCTTCTGGCCGCTCTAGAGCTTCTGCGCGGCCGTGGCCGTGGCCGTGGCCAGGAGGCTGCCCCCCCCCCATGCCCCGCCCGTCCAGTCGGGAAGTGCGCGTGCGCGCGGAGCAGGTGTCCGGGAGGGGCTGCGGTTGCGGCCCCCTCCCCCCCGGAAGCCCCGCGGCTCCTCCCACGGGTGAGCCCGGTTCTTGCTTCTTTTCTGAACCCAGGACGGAGCTTTAGAAAAGCGAAGCGATTGAACGAAGGGTGAAACCCGCTGCAGGAACCCGCGGGGAGCGCGCAGTTTCCTGGAAGCGCCCTCGTTCCGCAGAGGACCTGAGCACTGCTTTCCCAGCGCGGCCTGCAGGATCTCTCTGTGCCACCCACACCCGGACCCACCCTACTCGGCGCCCGGGAGGCCCATCCGAGCTGGCTCCCGACACACTGCCCCGCCTGGCTTCTGCCGAAGGAGACGGGAGCACAGGCGCGGGGCGTGGGGGGGCCGGGAGGGGCGCTGTGCTGACGCTCTCGGGCGGCCGCTTGAGTCCCTGGGACCCTGAGCGCTGTCCCTTCCCTGTCCCCCCGCCGCAAGGCTGGAGGCTGCGCTACCGCTCTGGACATTACTGCTCCCTTGAACCCCGCCCCATCGTGGCCAACAGTTTCTTGCTCAAACCCTCCTCCACGGCACCGGCTCACCTGTGTCTCCTGGGTCCAGCAGGGCCTTGACTGATACCCATTCGAGACCAAAAACACAACTGAAGATGGGGGTGGGGGGTGGATCAGAAACAAGCAACAATAGGGTAGTTTAAAAGGCCACAGTTATGATTTGCACAAAACACTTATGCGTCCCCTGCTGGGGGCTGACTTGCGCCCCCTCCCGTCCCCCAGTGGGCCTGTGGTTGGAGGTAGGGTGTGTGAGGAGGTGACTGGATTCAGTGAGCTCTCGGGATGGATCCTAATCTGGTAGAGGAGGTGCCTTATAAGGAGAGGAGGAGGCGTTCTGTGTGCGCGGGGTTTGAGGACAGGCGGTGCGGGGTCACCATGACGGGTGGCCGTCCACAGCCCAGGCGGGGGCTCTCATCACAACCGGACTCTGTGGGCGCCCCGACCGCGGACCTCCAGCCGCAAACCGCGAGAAACACAGGTCTGTTGTTCCAGCCCCGCCCCGTCGGGGGTCCTTTGTCACGGCAGCCTGAGCTAGGTCACCCCTAATTTCATGTAGGTGCCCAGGTGGCCCATAGATTTGACTCCAGGGTTTTACAGCAAATGAAATCCAGGATTCGTTACAGAGTTTCTACCACAGTCCCCTTGCAATGTAAGTTTTAAGTGCCTCTCTGTACCCCCAGTTTTAGATGATCTTGAGCAGAGAGAGACTGTGTGTGTGTGTGTGTGTGTGTGTGTGTGTGTGTGTGTGTGTTTGTGCCCACATGCACCTTAATTCTTCTTGGAACCTCCTCTTAACCTATTGGTTTCATTCACATACATTAATGATACATACACATTACCCATTTACATATGTCATATAAGTATATAATATATATTATATATAATGACATTAAAACATATAATGTTATATACATGTTACCTGTTACATGCGTAGTATCTGTTATCTATACATCATCTTTCATGTCCATATCACCTGTTACCTTCACCTTTCAAGTACATATCACCTGTTACATATGTAGCACCTGTTATATACCTATCAGCTGCTACCCCATAGCGCCTGGCTAAGTGGTTAAGCTTAGGTGTAGGTGGGTTAAATTTGGCATCAGCCAGATCCTGTTTAATTAGAAAACCGCAGAGTAGAAATATACCTACTTAAGGAAGGGACAGCTCAGAGCACCCAGCCCACACCACCCCAGCACCTCCCCAACTCAGAGCACCCAGCCCACACTCCCCCAACACCGCTTCCAGCTCGGAGCACCCAGCACACCCCCACAATACCTCCCCCAGCTCAGAGCACCCAGCCCACCTGCAGATGTCTGAGAGCCATTCACATCTATGCCTGGAGCCCCAAACCTTCCATGGTCTTGACGGCAGGTATGTGCCTGTAGTGGGCATGAGCCTCCGGCTGAAAGCAGCAGGAATTTATCGTCTCACCGCGCTGGCGGCCAGAAGTCTGAAGTCAGGGCATCTGCGCACCCCACCTCCTCTGAGGTTCTGGGTGGAGTCCTTCCTTCCTCGTCTCCCCACCCCTGGTGGTGGCCCACCGTCCGTGGTGTCCTTCAGCTCGGATGTGCCTCTCCACTGCTGCCTCTCTCGCCACATGATACTCTCCTCTTCTTTCTTTCATAAATTTTTTAAAAAATTTATTTATTTTGAGAGAGAGTGTGGGTGTGGAGTGGGGGCAGAGAGAGAGAAAGAGAAAACCAAGCAGGCTCTGAGCTGTCAGCACAGACCTGATGCAGGGGTCGAACCCACGATCCATGAGATCATGACCTGAGCAGAAATCAAGAGTCAGATGCTTCACCGACTGAGCCCCGCAGGCGCCGGGCTTTCCTGCTCTTGTGAGGACACCAGCCACGTGGATCAGGGCCACGCTACGCCACATGACCTCACCTTAACTAATCACACCTGCAGTGACTCTGCTTCCAAATTAGGTCACATTCTCAGGCCCTGGGGTTAGAACCTCAACCTGTCGTGTTTGGGGGACACAATCCAAACCATAATGATGCCTCAACCGAATGCTTTTATTTGAGCGATGGGCCCCTTAGTTTTCTCTCGGAGGCATCTTTCTCTAAGCGTTTCTAGCAATAGTTTATGTTATAGATTGAGTTTAGTTTCCACTGTACTGATTTTTAAAATGTCACCACCTTGGCCTGACAACACGGTGAGTTTGCTTTTATCCTTAGGAAGGACTGTGTGCTGCTGTCAGATGTCAGCAAGTTTATTTTTAAGTGGACAGGAGAGTCACCTGACTCGTGTACTTCCTGTGGGCTGTCCCTCACCGGGGAGGGCACTGTCGGGAAAGCACACTGGGTGTGGAGGTGAGCTTGGGTTGGATGCCACACGAGTCTGAGTTATAACTGTTCTACTTCTCTGCAACAGATTTTCCAGAACAACCTTTCTGCTCGTCGGAATTGGAAGCCTTCCAAATAATGGTTCTGTGTATTACTCACAATTTGACAGCACAGCTACTGCCTTCTATTTGCCTTAAAATGAGAGGTCAAGAGGTTTTGACTTAACCTAGGGTTGAACAAAGGTAGCATGTCCACAGAGGTGAGCTATGAAGTGAAATCTAAAAAACCCAGGAGTGCTGTGTTGCGGCCAGAGCCATTCTTGTCTGCTGGCTAAGTGCCCAGTTATTTCTGTGGGAGGGAAGCAGCTCAATCAAGGTATTGTCTATGTTTTTTATTGCTTTAGAAAGGGGTCTATGACTTGGGGAAGTTTGATTATTTTTTTTAATGTTTATTTTTGAGACAGAGCACAAGCAGGGGAGGGGCAGAGAGAGAGGGAGACACAGAATCCGAAGCAGCTCCAGGCTCTGAGCTGTCAGCACAGAGCCCGATGTGGGGCTCGAACTCATGAGCTGCGAGATCATGACCCGAGCCGAAGTCAGACGCTTAAACGACGGAGCCCCCCAGGGGAGGAGTTTGTTCTTAAGAAGCGGCCCCTTCCCTCGGACAGACAGACAGCACTAGGATGGCCAGGTTTTGAGAAGACGGGAAGGCCACTGTGTCCTAGTCCAGTGACGAGGCAGGCGTGAGGTCCGGGAAACGTGGCCCTCTCGAGGAAAGTGACTACCATTAGGGTTACCTGGCTGGTTGGGCAGCTGGGAATTGCTCCTCGCCCCTTCTCGGTATGTTTGCCTTGAGAAACATTTCTCTGAATAAGGTCTGTTTTTCCATCCTCTTCTTGAAAGTCTCCCCGGACGAACAAAGGTAAGCCAGACCCAAACTCCCTCGCTCCCCAAACCAAAACCTTAGCCTCCTGTTGAAATAACGTTTAAGGAATTGTTGACTGAGGACAGGCTGTATTTTTCCCTATGCCCAGACTTAATTAGTTTGGACCAATAGCCTGGATTTCTTTCCACTCTGTCTTGAATGATAGTTACGAATGACTCAACCTTCCATGCTGGTAGGGGAAGTTCTCAGACTCACAATGTACTCCATGGCCGCTATTTACTGAGTCCCTGCTGAGTACCAGGTGGCCATTGACTGAGTGCCTATTGTGTGATGGGTTTATATTATGGGTTTTGCAGACACCATCTCATGTAACCCTTACAAAGCTGGGTGACGTACCCAGTGGGCTCTGAATCACCTCTACAGAGAGGCCAAGAGATTGCCCTGAGACCATCAACAGGCCCCTGTGCTGAGGATCTGAGAATCCAGCCCTTCACATTAGGCGGTAACATTCTTGGGCACAAGTGAAGCTCCTGCCTTGTTTCTTGGGCTTCTTGGAAGGGCCCACAACTTGGAGAATTAGGACTAGAGCTTCCCTGTTGCCCTTTCAGGAAAGGGGCCTTCTGGGGCGCCTGGGTGGCTTAGTCGGTTAAGCGTCCGACTTTCGCTTAGGTCATGATCTCGCGGTTCGTGGGTTCGAGCCCCATGTCGGGCTCTGTGCTGACTGCCAGCTCAGAGCCTGGAGCCTGTTTCAGTCTGTGTCTCCCTTTCTCTCTGATCCTCCCCTGCTCACACACACTCTCTCTCTCTCTCCTAGAAATAAATAAAAATATTAAAAAAAAAAAAAAAGGAAGGGGGCCTTCTGTACAAGAAAGACTCCATGACTCCATCCAGCAGCAGTTCTGAGTGAGGTCGCCTCCCATATTCAACAGCATCAACCACCCCCAGAGCTGAGGACCTGTTCGGGGGACCCCCTAGCCCTCTGCTGTCATTTTGGCATCTCTGTTTCCGTCTGCTCCCCGGACTCAACACCAGCCCCGAGTGGTGGTGGCCCGCCCTGACCCAGGACTTCAAGTAGGAATGCATCTTAAAAAACATCCCCTCCGGGGCGCACAACCGCGGCAAAGCAGGTCACGCGGGAGGAAACTGTGTCTCACGGCTCCCCCTCTGCACCGTGCAGGGCACTGCCCTCCGGGGAGGGGGACACGGAGTCTGTTTGTGTTGTAGCGATTGTTCACGTGATCTGGAAAGACAGACTCTGGGGGCTGAAGCAGGATGTGTCCTTCTACATTTTAATTGCTTCCAAGAACGATCAGATAATTGCCTTCCTTTGAAAGATCCCTGAGAATATGCTGAAGTGTCCCAGCAAAACAAAAGAGTCTCTGCGCGGTTTCTATTCTCTGCCAGCTCTGCTGGTGGGAACTGAACGCCTGGGGAAGGGGCAGGCTGACGGGGAGCTGGGCCCCTGGGCGAACATCTCCCTCCTCGAGGGATGGGAGTGAGCCGTTCTAATTAAGAGGGGAAGGTGAGACTTCCACCACACTGGCCCGAGCCCCCCCCTCCAGCGGCACTGGCTGAAGGCAGGAGAAAATACGAGGCGGGTCTCAAGCCCGTGCCTCCGCGAGCTTGGGCGTGTAATTCATCGCCATCCTGTTCAGAATGGCTTTACATGGAGATTTTTAGAGACTTAACTGCTTTTGTGAATCAGATGTGACTCATTTCTGCCGGTCCTCAGAACCCCCTGGTCTGAACAAGTAGATGCTCTTGTAAGGGAAAAGAAAGGAAAGGAAAAAAAGAAAAAATGCACATTTTTTGGGTGCTTTCTGTGTTTTATCATCAAGATTACTGGGGAGAATAGCCAAAGCGAGATTTTCGGCTATGACTGGCTTGCAGCTGAGAGTGGGCATCTGTGTTTGCATTTTCAATGGAGAAGAGATTCTTTTTGTGTCCAGGAGTCAAGGGTGTCGAGGATTGCTGCCAGGGTCTGATGCTCCGGCCACAGCGCGCCAGCGTCGGAAGGACCTTGGCGTTGGGCTCTAAACCCCTGGGGGCAGGCACAGGTGCTGGGTGCCTTTGCAGAGAGCCAGGGTCCACTGCGCCTGGAGGGGGTCCATCCATCAGCCCCTATTTCTGGGGGCCACGGAGCCGGGTAATGGGGCCCTGCAGACGTTCTGAGGGTAAATCAGTGTTGTCCAAGTGCTTCCTCAAGGCCGAGTCAGGTGCTGAGCTCTCAAAGGCAGGTGATTGGCTTAGAGCGGAGGGGATCGATAGAAGGCTCGGCGCCTCCACGGTTGGCTGAGGCTCTGCGGCCATCCTTGTGCTGACTTGTGTGCCGGACTGACGTCCCCTGTCCCGTCGTCCTGGGATTCCGGGGCTGTTCCCAAGTCCTCACGCCCCCTCCCCCAGACTAGACCGTCGGCAAGGACTGCAAGCATTCCCACTCCAGCCAGGGTCCCCACCGGGGCTGGGATTGACCCCATGCCGCGTCAAGGGTGCGGGAGGGGCTAGGTGCTTCTGTCCCCTTCTCTTGCCTTCTGACCTTGGCCCTGAGAAGTGTGTCTCAGGTAGCTACAGGTCAGGGAGGCTAAGCCCAGCCCAGCCAGCCCGCGGCGGAGCAGAGGCTCCAGCCCACATCGTCTGCGAGCATGCCAGCAGGGGTGACGGAGCCTCTGATTTTCAGGATTCCGTTTTTACTTCTTTTTTAAATGTGTATTTATTTTTGAGAGGGGGAGGGGCAGAGAGAGAAGGAGACACAGCATCTGAAGTCGATTCCAGGCTCTGAGCTGTCAACACAGAGCCTGATGCGGGGCTCGAACCCTTGAGCCATGAGATCGTGACCTGAGCCAAAGTTGGACACTCAACCGACTGAGCCCCCCAGGTGCCCTGAAGCCGTCTCTTAACAGCCCAGTGGGAGAGGGCGTTTGCGTCCCCGGGCCCCACCTGCAGGCTCTGTGGAGCCCAGTGCTGGCCGGGGACACGTCCCGCAGAAGCCAGCAGAATGGCCGGTAAGTGTTCTGTCCCCAGAACAAGGGGCTGGGGACGTCAGAGGACATGCGGCGCAGAGGTTCAAATGTCCAGAATCACCGGTGGGACTGGCGGCGGCGGCGGGAAGTGTGCCCCCCATGCCCCCCGTGGCCCGGCTGTCCCACAGTGGGGGCGGGGTCCACGGCTTTGCCGGGAGCTGCCTGCGGAGAGAATCGGCCCGATGGAACCAGGAGCACTGCAGACGGAAATCGTCAGCCCTCTGTCCCCGAGTCC